TTGATTGTGGATGCTATGAAAGTATATTGTAGTGGATTTAGTCTCATATTATATTTTTAGAGGGTTTCAAATGTTTCTTTTGATTTATTTATGTATTATTCAACCGACTGAATTTAATCTAACACGTAATCCATGTACACGTCAATATTTTTCATTTTTTTGCTTAGAGAAATTTACATCCATATGATGTCGATAAGCAGCCCTAATGTTTTTAAGCCCAAAAGGCATTATATGATAGCAATACATACCCTCACTAGCTATAAAGATTGTCTTCTCTACATCAGCAGGGTGCATTTTTATTTGGTGGTAGCTAGAGAAAGCATTTATAAAGCTCTTTATAGTGTGACCGACCATTAAATCCATCAACGCATCGATCCTTAAACGTAAATACCTGTCCTTCGAGCAGACAAGATTCAAGTTGGTGAAGTTCACATACACCCTCCACTTGTCATTCGCCTTCTACACCAAGAACATGTTGGAGACCCTTATCGAGTATTGTATCCTGGATGTGGCTTGCCTCCTTCATTTTTAGGAACTCCATCCAAATCTGTCTGACCAGAGTAATTTCTGAGGACCTGATTTTCCGCTTCATTGGTCAGGATGTCGGATTCACATTCAGTTGGTGTCAAGCGACATTGAGAAAAATATCTGACATCTCTACTTCTCCCAAAGGCTCTTAATCAACAAATCTTTGGGCCGTGCATCAAAATTTTCACTTATTAAAAAGAGTTACCATACCTTCCTTCGATTATATGGATCTCAAGTGTAGTCTTGCTTGTCTCAAAACATCTTTCATGCTGGTGTTGCAGGTCAAGCAACTCCTAGTCCACACTCCCGACCTTCTAAAAGTAATAAGTCTGTGACTGCACCAAGTTTCCTCAAATTGTTATGATCCTCTATAGCTAGGAAACTTCAGTATCACATGGTACGTTGAGACCACAGTCTTGTCAGTCATTCAACAAGGGCTAGCTGAAGATGACGTTCTAATTTTGTTATCGAGTATACACCAAGAAGTCTTCCATGAAGAAGAATTGCTATTTACCTTCTTCCTAGAAGGCTGGTAGTGCAATTACTCCCAAGTCTTCATTTCTCTCGTCAAAAAAAATCATAGAGTAAGTGAGGTCGATGCCACTAGCTTGTCAATTGGGAGCTTAATTTTATTGAAAACTATCTTGAGCAGGATTTTCACAGAACTGTAAGTGTTGACATGAATGATATCTATATGATAATTTCAATTATTTTTGTCAAGCTGATGATATCATTGTAAGGGTTCCCCATCATGGTAGGTCTGCCTAGGTGAATGCGGTTAATGGATGGGTGTTGTGCTTCAGAGGGAAAGTGGCTGCACAAAGTTCTCCTAACTATAGCCTCTTCTAACTGGCTCACCGCTATGAATTTCAACCTCCTCCAAAATTTGTTGGTACAAATCTAGTGATGTGGATAGTTTTTACTGTAACTAGCTCATTCCGTATTTCTTCTACCAGAGCCTTTCCATGCCTCTTGGTCACTGCTCCAGCTGCTACGAACTCCTCAAGCTTTATAGTTCTTATAAATTCTTTAACCAAGCTCAGGAGGTATTTGCGTTGCTTCTTATCATGGCCATGGTCTTTGTGGTAAGCGCTATACTTCTTCGTGTCCTGAAGACAAGCTTCAACTCACATGGATGACGCCTTCTTAAAGTATTCTTTAGTTTGGATTGCCTCCAACAACTCCATCATGAAGACTCTCAATAGAGTGGCCTTCGGTGCCTCACAATCATTTAATTGTTGCTCATGTTAACAAGCTTTGTTAGTCAATGTATCTTGCTTGACCTCGACTGTTGTTCCCGTTGGCCTCCATTGTCCCGAGGGAGTTAGTTATCTTAGTATAGTGGCCAAGCAAAAAGAGGAGAGATTTCCCTCAACCATCATCTATCATCTCTTGGGGTTCTCCTTTTCAGATGATTAGTATCTAATTTTTCCCTGGCAAACGCGGGTTTCAAGTAGTACTCTTCAGCCAAAATGTGAATATTGGCCAACTCCATCAATTTGGCTAGGGTCTTTGGTTGTTGGAGGTGCATAGCATATAAGAAGGGTCCCTTCTTCAGCCCTTAAGCTAGGGAGAAGTGTGAGAATGTTGTTCTAGATCCAAAAATTCCATCATCTTCTTCTGGAATAGCGTGAAAAATGAGTAGGGACTCTCATTTTGCCTCTGCATGATCTAAGGCAGGGTCTGTGAACCTTTTGTGGCTTTTGGGAACTGAAAAACTGTGTCATGAACATACTCTTGAAGTTAGTGGAAGAGGCCATTACTCTAGTATACAATCAATTGAATCACTAGAGGTCCAACTCCCTCAGCGTGGTGAAAAAGAGATAACACATCAAAGCGTTGGTGATCCTCATCATGTAGACAGTTGACTCAAAGGAGGAGACATGACCGATGGATTCGTCTGACCATTGTAGGATTCTAGTGACAATATATTGAGCTTCTATAAGTTTAAAAACTAAAATCTATTGGGAGAAGGCATTCTCCAAATGGTGGGGGCCTCCATTTTCTCGAACCACTATTTATCTAGCGGCCCAGACCCAATAATCTCTTGGTATTGGGAGTCTCATACTTGATCGGGTTCTTGAGTCACTATTCAGATGTTGTGCATCGACACTTCCTCATGGGAGTTTTGCTCCCTTTCCCTTGCTACTACTTCTTTAAGGGCCTTCAATGTCTAGCCCATCATTTAGTCCTTCAACTACTGAACTTGTTGCTGCATAAACTCCCTAGTACACTCCATGTTTGTGAATTCTCTTTGATGAGTTTATTCTCCTTGTTGTGCTCTTCTTCTTATTGTTGATATGATCTACGCTCACTACACTTTTTTGGCAGATATATCCAAAGTTTTCTTGTGATTCACAACCAAGGAATATAAGATAAAATAAGAGAGAGAGAGAGAGAGAGAGCACATTAGTGAATTTTTTCCATGATGACTAATTAATTTGCCCTTTACTATAGAAATAACCCTCTATTTATAGAAGAGGAAAGCACCGTGGGCATAATTACTTAGTTGCCCCTGCTTTAAAGAGGGTGTTACAAGGTATTTTGGTAATTTACAAGAATGAGCTTATGACTCGGCTACCCTATCGTTCGGTCGGCTAAGATCTGTGGCCCTTGGATCTAAAAGGCTCATTTGACCTACTTTGATAATTTGGGGTTGTTAGTCTGCTCCTTCGGTCATCCGAAATTTGCTGTTCAGTTGCTTTAATCATGTTGTCGACTGTCGACCCCTATATCAGGAGTCTCTATTTTCAGGATGAGACCAGACTATCAGGCATAGGGTGAATCACTGTAGTCCAACATATAGCTCACCCCTTGAAATGTCCCTTTAGTGTGTTCGTGAAATGTATTGTGGGGAGAGCCTTCAGCCTCCTGAGGGTCTTGGAGGCTCTTGTGAGGCGGCTAGTGATGTTGGGACAAGAGTTGGGCTGATGCATTCTCTCGACTCAATAGACCTTGGTCTTTGGTTCAGACTACCTTTGTTAGTCGGCTTCTGGTCCCAAACCAAAGGAGCTATACTAAATCAAACACATCTTTAGCCTTCACGTGATGTGACATTTGACCTTCCTTCTGTGGGCCATCCTTGATTGCACATTTGTCTCTTAGCCTGTTAAATTTCCTCAAGATTCATGTTAACGTATATTTGATGTACAACACAATCACAAAATAGATAAAGAAAAAAACAACAAAAAAGGGCAGAAAGAACTATTGAATGTACCTAATACGCAAAGGACTGAAGTTAAGAAAAAGATCTAAGATTAAATTTGAGTTAAAAATACCTCAGATCCCTCAGACTCATGCACATGATCCACTTAGGACAATACAATTACAAACACACTATAACTCAAGGAGATAGAAGAGAGAGGGCGAGTGAGCGAAGTGATGATATCTCAGTTAAAAAAAAAAAAAAAACTATTAACAAAACACAAAAAGCCGCTTAAGAGGCAAAACATAAAAAAAACTAGTTAATAAGTGTTGTGGTGGTGTAAACATGTCAAAAATGTGATAAAAAAATGAACGGAAATGCGATAAGAAATTGCACCACCCCCTAAGAAGTGTCTTAGAGTGAAGAAAATTTTACATCCGGAGTCTGAAAGCAACTTTGCGTGCGGACTCCAATAATATACCGTCATGTGCGCTTTATCGGACCCACCTAAGAAAATATTAATGTGGAACTGTGGAGGTTATTGAAGTGGAATAAATGAGGTTATTGGAGTGAAACAACAGATGTTATTAAGAGGTTATTGTGACATTAATTCCAATCACACCGCAATAACCACTAAATAATTTCTCAATAATCCCTCGATAATCTCTACAGTTCCACTCCAATAACGCCAATAACCTCCACGGTTCCACAACAATAACCCCCTAATAACCTCTGCGATTCCACTTCAATAACTCTCTGTATTAATACCCGCAGTAACCTCCTAATAACCCTTCAATAACCTTAAATAATCTTCACAGTTTCACTTCAATAACCTTAAAAATAATATCCACACGACGATGTATTAATAAAATTAAAATTTTCTCCCAGGATTGGGATTAGCTACCCAAATAAAATAGGCATAGCCTATTTCACCGCCAATTCATCCGTCCAATATAGTAGACAACCCACAACTCACAACCCTCGCCGCTTGAAGCACGTATAATTAGTGCCTTCTGTCCGTAGATCACAATCACGAAGAACTGGAAGCGGCGGAAGGGCAGAACGCTATACAAGCGAAAGAAGGCATCGACTGATTGCCTGAGGGCATATCTTCCCGCCTCCTCTCAAATCCCTACCGCCGACATCGCCACCAGGCTCGGCTTTGCCGATTGTTTGGTCCGATCTCCTACTAAAAACCCTAGATCGAATTAATCGATATGCTTTCCTGCTGTCCTGGCACGACCACCGGTGCGCAAAATTTTCCACACCTAGGATTTCTTTCCAAATAGTATCCCAAGATCGTCTTAAGGCTCTTAGGGTTAGAGAGATGAGCCGGCGAGTGAGGAGGCGGGGTTCGCAGTCAAAAGACAAAGATAAGGTCATTATATCCTCGCCGGTGTTCCCGGAGACAGCGGAGGAGTACGAGATATGCCGTCCTGGTGGTGAAATTTCAGGCTGTCACGAGGTGGAGTGGACTCGCCTCCCCGATGACACTGTTGTCCAGCTCTTCTCTTGTCTCAGCTACCGCGACCGAGCCTGCCTCTCTTCCACCTGTCGTACTTGGCGCCTCCTTGGCTCGTCACCGTGCCTCTGGAATTCGCTTGACCTCCGCGCTCATCGATGCGACGCTGATACTGCGAGCGTTCTCGCCTCCCGTTGCACGAGCCTCCGTCGTCTCCGATTCCGGGGATCGGAGTCGGCCGCTGCCATTATAAATCTTCACGCCCGTGACTTGCGGGAGATTGCCGGGGATTATTGCCGTGACATTACAGATGCTACGCTATCAGTGATTGCTGCTCGGCATGAGGCGCTCGAGAGCCTGCAGATTGGGCCCGATCCGTGTGAGAAGATCAGCAGCGATGCCATCCGCCATGTGGCCATGTGCTGCTCGAGATTGAGAAGGTTGCGCCTTTCGGGTGTCAGGGAGATTGATGGCCTCGCTATCGGCGCCTTGGCGAGGCACTGCTCCCGGCTGGAGGAGATTGCGCTTATTGACTGTGGGAGCATCGATGAGACCGCCCTTGGCAAGTTGGAATGCCTAAAGTTTCTGTCAATAGCAGGTTCCCGGAATTTGAAATGGGCATCAGCTGTCACTTCCTGGAGCAAGCTTCCAAACCTTGTTGGATTGGATGTTTCTAGGACTGATGTTCCCTCAAGTGCTCTGTTTAGAATTTTCTCCTCCTCTAAGAATTTGAAAGTTTTGTGCGCTCTCAACTGCCTGGCATTAGAGGAGGAGGTCAATCTTAACCCGCTGAGCTCTAGCCATGCCAAGGCAAAGATAGTCCTCACTCTCTTCACTGATGTTTCGAAGAGGATTACGTCTTTATTTTCTAATTCTGTAGGGAACGAAACTGAGGTCACTGGGAATTGGAGGTCTCAGGGAAACAAGGATAAGCACTTGAATGACATCATAAGCTGGGTGGAATGGATACTATCGCAGTCTTTGCTTCGCATAGCCGAGATGAATCCTACTGGCACGGATGATTTTTGGTTGAGGCAGGGGGCTGCATTATTGTTGAGTTTGGTGAATAGTTCTCAGGAAGATGTACAAGAGAGAGCGGCAGCTGGGCTTGCTGCTTTCGTGGTAATTGATGACGAGAACGCTACAGTGGATCCAGCAAGGGCGGAGGCTGTCATGAAAAATGGGGGCATTCCATTGCTTTTGGGACTTGCGAGGTCATGCAGGGAAGGTGTACAGTCTGAAGCTGCGAAGGTAAGGCTTTGCATTGATATTTCTTACTCATAGGTCGATAGAGAGCTTCGTTTTCTTGAATGTGATTTCTTTTATCTGTTGGTTTTGCAGGCTATTGCAAACTTGTCAGTTAATGCCAAAGTTGCAAAAGCAGTTGCTGATGAAGGTGGTATCAGTATCCTTGCTAGCCTAGCAAGGTCCACAAACAGGCTGGTTGCTGAAGAAGCTGCTGGAGGGCTCTGGAATCTTTCAGTTGGAGAAGAGCACAAGGTTTACATGCCAGAGGATGCCTAACTGTGTTGAACCTTTGTTTAGTTTTCTTGCCGATTGATTCTATAAATTTAGAAGATGTTGCATTTTTCAGACTGCCATCGCTGAAGCTGGTGGTGTTAAAGCTCTGGTAGATCTCATCTTTAAATGGCCAACCGGGACAGATGGAGTGCTTGTATGAATGCTATAATTTTTTTTAATGTGTGCTTGGATAGCTAAATATATGTATCATGTGTGCAAATACTTTTGTTTGATTTCTGTACTGATTTTATGCTGTGTCATTTTTTTTAAGGAGCGTGCTGCTGGTGCACTAGCAAATCTTGCTGCGGATGACCAATGTAGCATGGAAGTAGCAATGGCAGGTGGCGTGCATGCTTTGGTGATGCTTGCAAGGTCATGCAGGGTTGAAGGAGTGCAAGAGCAGGTTTCATCAACCAGTCATTGCAAATCTTTTTTCCTTTTTGGCGATTATATATACTTTTACAACAGTTTTGTTGACTACCAAAGTTACGTGAGGATGCTTTTATGATAAGTTCAATACTAGCTTTATTTCTGTTGAACCAGGTTAATCCCTCCCTCCAATAAGGAAACACTGTTTAAAGGTGTAATCTGATTCATATTATTTGCAAGGTGCTTATGGCTTGATATTTTGCCTTAATAAATTTCAAAGCTTTTATGCTTTATCTGAGGTTGACTTGGGCATATGGTATAAAAGATCTTAATTTATTAGGATTAAATGAAAATATGACACTTAGACACAATAGAGAAAAAGGATTTATGTAGCCGACCCCACTTAGAGGGATGAAGGCTTGCTGCTCTTGTTATTTTTATTGTTGTATGCTTTATGTTAGCTTCCTTGCCGGGAAACATAATTAATGACATTTCGGGAGCATATATTAGGTCTCCTGTATATTTAAGTTGGATGTACATGTGTAATATTTACAAATAAGATGTTTAGACACAAGGATTTAAGCAATTTAAGCGTATTTGCTATCTAGTTTTAATCTCTTAGACATTTGTAAACTAATTTTTTTTGGCATGTAATTGGTATTTGTATTTGGACACTCTATTTTGGCAACTTGATTAATGTTGAATACTCTTTCACTTACAGGCCGCTCGTGCCTTAGCTAATTTGGCTGCTCACGGGGATAGCAATAGCAACAATGCTGCAGTCGGTCAAGAGGCAGGTGCTGTCGATGCACTAGTGCAACTAACTTGTTCTCCTAACGAAGGTGTAAGGTAATATTTTTTTCCCCAAGCTATGATTTCTTATGTTCTAGACTTCTGGCTGAGTTTGCATGTTGATTCATAGTATTGTGAGCTGAGTTTAATGTAAGATTTGCAGAACCAAAATTTTCTCCATCTGTGCATGCAGCCACAAATAATGGGCTGCAGACAATACTATACTATGTAAACCCTTTTCCACACAAAAAATGGCTGCAGTTTGCTCTGCATGCATTTTTATTTTGTATGTCCTATGGTTGAGGTTTCATTATTAATGTATGTAGCCATATGTTTATCTTAAATTGCTTCATTATTTCTTTTCTATTTATTGATAGTTTTCACTTAATTAAAGGCAAGAAGCTGCTGGCGCTCTGTGGAATTTATCTTTTGATGATAGAAATCGAGAGGCAATTGCTGCGGCTGGGGGTGTTGAAGCACTGGTATTTGTTTCACTTAGTCTATTTTGTTCGATATGTGTACCTTAGCATTTGCATTATCTATTTATGTTGTTTAATGCTTTCTCTTATTGTAGCTGTTTATTTTTGTTGTAGAATTAGGGGGCAACCTTCTAAAATCTAGAAATTAATGTGACACAGTTCACATAACTGGAATGATCTGGGTTGTCCAAACCCTAGGTGATGCAATGCGCGATATATGAAGACTAATATACTGGCCAGCTTTAGAAACAATCATAGAAAGTAAATGGAGGATTTCAACTACTTTTTGCACTCAAAAAATAAAACAGCGCAATGAAAAGCAATAAATAACTTTTAGTCTGCAGAAATGCAAAAGGAGGATCTCAAGGAAATTCTTAAGCTGATTTCAGTGCAAAGGGAGAAAAACTATAAAAAAGGCTGATAGAAATTTTTTTAGAATTTTATATTGTCGGAAAATTGATTTTGTGAAGCCCAGCTGATGCAAAAGAAAAAAAAAAAATATGTATAGCCCCATGTAAAAATTCGTTGAATATTACTATAGGTTTATGAATGTCATAAATCCGAGGGACAAGAAAGTTTTTAACGAGAAGATCAAGTACATTAATCATCTTATCCTTGAAATGCAGCTGCTAGATCTAACCTTGCCTTTTGTTGTCGAGGTTTCAATTAATGTGTGAGAAAATGTGTAACAGTCGCCCCTAATTTGAAAATCAGAACCAATTGTTGAGGACAGCAAGAGAGAGAGAGAGAGAGAGAGAGAGAGAGAGATGAAGGAATGAGAAAGAAATAGAGCGAGGTAGAAGTTAGGAATTCGACTGCCTTGCAAAATCTCTTTGAATGATGCTTCAGCTGTCATTCAAGCAACACTTGCCATTTCCAATGCTTGTGAGGCAAGCTACAATCTATATTTCGTACTCCAATTAGTGTTTTGATACAAATGAGGTCCTCTTTATGAAGTAGAATATATATAACATCACAATATGGAAATACTTTAAAATAGCCTCGATGGTATGCTACATGTTACTGCTATATATAAAACTTTACATGCATGAATAATAATATGCCATAACAACATTTCTTATTGCAACTCCATGGCTTACTGGCAGTGCACTATTATCTAGCCAGTGTTGCTAATTGTTCACACGGGGCTCCATTGCTCTCTTGATGCTGTTTTACACTTCTACTCCATAGATTGAGCTTAATAAAACAAGCTAAGTTGCCTCTTTCTAAATATCTTGTACTTGCACCTTCTTTTCCATCTTGCACTGCTGGTTTGTAGGTGTGTTTGAAAGATGATGTGATGATTCAAGTTGTTGTATCCAATTTTTTATGTTTGATTCAGAGAGATTTGGATTTAAATTTACATACTGAAGGGAAAATACATAACTATTAGCCAGTGGGGAGTTGTCCTGTGATTGCCAAGGGCTTGATCTGGTGATGCTTGCCATGCATGGTAGAAATTTACATAATATTGATAGCTTGAAGCGTCACATCAGTTATGCAGTACTATTAGATCTCTTATGGTTCAAATTGAAGTGTAGGAATGATTTTTAACACTTATAATGAACAACGATATTCTGTTTTTAATTTAGGAAAGGCTTTCTAGGTCCTATTAAATATGGTGTTTATATCGAGATTTTTTTTAGTTCTCATATTTTAAGGATTTCTGGGTTGGCTTAGGTTGAAAGCTTTATAAAATTTTTGGTTACTGTGAATTTGATAAATTTCGATGATTCCTTGAAATGTTGGAAAATTTTTATGGATATTATCAAATTTTGCTGACGAGTTCAAACCTCAGGTGAAACAATTGAAGCTTTGCAGAAATTGCCAAAGTTTAATAGGAATTGGGAAACTGGTTGAAACTGCCACAATGGGATAAAAAAAAACAAAATTTAAATACTTTTTATTAGAAATTTTTTTAGTTGTGCTTACATTTATTGTCTATGTTGTATTCATTACTATTATCATCTCAAATGATCATGATTTTGCCAGCATATTAAGCGAAAAATTGTATGTTAATGGTGCCATAGTTACTTTTTAACGTGTGAGATGTCATGGTTGTTTTGGAATTAATGGTCTCCTTATTTTTTAAACTTGTGACAAGTATTGTGGATGTTTATGTTTTTGTGACCTTTTTTTAATTTTTCTTCCGCAAGTGTTTTTTTAAGATGCATGGCTTGATTGAGAACTTTTATCTTAAATAGGTTTGAATGTTGTGCTTTTACGCTAGTGTGCTTGTGTTCCTATATTGTAATAGGCTTCATTAATTCTTTCTTAGATCCAACAACTTCACTTGAATCATATTCATCATAAATTTCACTAGCTCAGAAATGTGTAGTACCTTTTATAAAGACCTTAGTTGGTTGGATATGCTCGATTGAGGATTATCGTGATGTTGTGTTTTAGAGATGAGACATATGTTAATGTTGAGCATTCTTTGGAGCAATCTTGAGTTTAATTTAGTGCATGAGACTATGTTCGATTCAGTGATTGAGCTTAAGCATAATGTTGTGTTTTGGCATGCTATTGAGTCTAAGTAGCCACCTAGTGATGTTGCTTACTTGATTGCAATATAATTTACATGATGTTTCCCAGTTCTCAAAGGCTTTTTATTTCAAAATGATTATTGTTGGTTGAGTTTTTTTAGGGATGTGAGCCGAGTTTGGCTGTACTTGATTCATTAATGAGCTTATCAAGTTGCTAGCACAAGCTTGAACTTAAAAATCATCTTGTTTATTAAAGGAGATCGAGTGTGAGCTTGGTGAGGCTTGGCTCAATGGCTTAAATTTCATCTTGTTTTTTTCTTCCTATTTTTGGTTAATTCTGGATTAGAAGGTAGCCACCATTGTCACAAACTCCATATCTTCTTCCATCTTTGTTGGACTCGTTGATGCCTTCTCTAACAAACTTCCATTGTTAGTCCCATTAATGCTGACTCCAACGAGTTCACGCCATTATTGCCTCTCGTGGGTCTCTTCATTACCTTCACTAGCTAGCTCTCGTCAGAACTTCTCTATCATTTGCGTCATTGATATCTTCTCCAATGTGCTTTTATCGGAACTCTTCAACAAGCTTTTGTTATGACTTTCCTCAACGTTGTTGGTGCTATCATTACCCAATGAGCCCTCGCCGATTCCATCTCTATTTTTTTTCTGAGTTCTTGTTGCAACTTTGGCTTGAGCTCAACTCAAGCTTGTGTTTGATGTTTTTTTAACGTTCTGAGATGGGGTTTTTCGTATGTACTTGAGCCCAAGTTTGAGCTTGTCATTGAATAGGCAAATCTAGCTCATGTTATTCCTAACTCAAGCTTGAATTGACCTGTTTACGCCCTTAGTTCATGCTGCTATTGTTATCTGCCATGTTATATATTGTCATTACCCAAAATTATTGTATAGAATCCTTCCTTGAAATGAGAAGACAATTGTATGTTACATGGTGATGTTCAAATCCAAAGCCTTCATATACCTCTATAGATCATTACCTGTTTTATTGTATCATGTAATGTACATATGATATTTCTATCACCATTTTCACTATTGTCGGCTTGTTCCCTCTTTTGAACTCTTTAGAGAATAGTTGTCAGAGGAATGATGTAAGAGAATTGCTACAATGACTTGATGAGAGTTTTAGTCATTTCATGTTTACGTTGTTATCTTTTTTTATGTTAATGTTATGTCATTAATTCATTCAATCATTTGCTATACTTCCAATAATTTACTTTTATTTTTGGCTTTTAATGTAGACTCTTAAGTCTAAATGTCTTAAGATGTAATGGATGATCAATGGTCATTTGTTGAATATATAAGATTTTCTTTTTCCTTATTTTCTCTCTTCTTTGAACCCTCAATTGCATTTCTATCTTTTCTTTCTCATAAGCATATGCATTCCTTATCTTAATTCAAATTTAACAACTAGTACGCCCTCTTCCTATTAAAGATCCATACCCAACCTCCTCCTAAGTCTTAAGCCACCCCCCTATCTATCTCTTTTCCTAATTAGATTTATCCAGGCAGAGCCAAATGACCTATTATAGCAAGGCTAACCTTCTACATCTATCTGAGACAAGGAAGATTGCGGGGGCAATTAAGTCAGCATCACTTCAATTCACTACTTTGAAAATTGGACTTCTTAGAAACATATGGACAACTAGGATCTTGTTATAGATTATAATATTAGTTATGGTTAAAATGATAGTTATTATATTGGCAAACATAAACAACAATAACATATAGCTGGGATAACCTTCCACATTCACTGGAAACAAGGAAGAAACAGAGGGAAATTAGGCATTATCTTACCACTTCATTTCACTGCTCCATAAATTGATTTTTTTTGAAATTAATGAAATACTAGGACCTTTTTGTATATTATGATTTTTGTTATGGTTAAAAATGTTGTTATCATGGTGGATAACATAAAACAACAAATTTCATGCTGATGCTAGTTTTGCTCTTTGATTTTTTCAAGTCACGTGTGGGCTAGTGGTTTAAATGCACTATTATTGGGGAATTTTTTGATTGCTTTTATGCCCAACATGAATTAAAATAAATGTAATTAATTATATTGGGCCCTCGCCAATATAGGGTTTAAGGAAGGGTTGATATATTGAACCATTTTGCAACATTTTAGAGGCTATCTTTGTGACCCAAATATAGGTTTTTCGGTAACTATGACATTATAACCTTCATATCATATATTGATTTGATAAATAATAATAAAATTAGAAAGTAATTTGTTTTATACCATATAAAACACTGCCATTATCGGGTCTCAAGCTCCAAATGCGAAAAACGGAGAGTTGAGATAGGTATTCAACAACAATTGTAAAATTTTTGTCAAAAAATTTTGACATGAATCCTTCAAAACATTGTGTAAATTTTAGGCGTTCTTAGAAGTGTCGTGTTGTATGGTCTTAATACAGTGATAAATATGGAAGGGCCGCTACACCGACCCCAGATGTAGTATGAAATAAGCAATGATTCCTATATTATAGATGTATGTGG